ACGTCTTTTTCTGATGCTTTTTCGTCTGTGCCTAATTGGGACAACCATACTCGAGGTTTGAGTAAAACATGTGCGGTAGAATCGCGCTACGGTGAGCCACACCAAATGGGCGGAAACAGCGAGCTCCAGCTCCGCTCTTACAAGGATGAACAAATCATGTTAGCTACTTCCCCCCCCCCGTCATAATTGATGGTCAGTCATCCAAATGAAGTCAGCTTCATAGACTGAAATGTGAATCACTCCGTTAGGCGCAATTCCACACGGATCCCTCTTTACCACCCGCACTCAGGTGCTGCTAAGGCCGAGAAGTCCATCCCACACAAAGTTGGCCAAGAATTTGGGACGCTTGGCGGTCCGGCATCAAGCCGAGTTCTGACTGGTCGAAAGTCTGGACCCAACAGCCACTCATGACCCAGTATTGGCCAAAAGCCGGTTGCCAATGGCGCATCCAGAACGCGTCAGAATTTCCAGGAAGCAGATTACGCCACATATATGAAGCGCAGTACAACTGTTCCTGATTTCGTTTTGGGCGTTAATATACCTTGTGCACCTTTGGTGGTTGTTTTCGCGTGAACGCCAGCTTGGGAGGCTCAGTTGGGAAAGATACCGTTATTACACACTCGAACTGTGACATTCTCCGCCCAAGTTGGGTGGGGCGTTTTCCCACGTATGTCAGCGTATTTTATACCGGATGTTACACACTACTCATAGGGTTGCTGAAAATCATTGACTGGTTTAGACTTTTTACTTAAGGCTCATCAGGTAGGATCGGTTCTCCTCAAGTTTCCGTCAAAAATGTTTTACTTGAACAAAGATTGCACGAAATTAGCGAAATACACACATTTTCACACCAATGTGGATTTGACAGGAGACACATCTGGGGCCCTGCTGAATCGGTCTCTTAAGCAGCCTTATGAGTAGTGTATTACACCTACACGGTGTATCGCAACTTATCAGATATCGATCGCACGAAGTGAAACACGAGGTGGCCTGGTGCGTCGCATTCATTCGAGTAGGAACATCACAAACGAGCGATTGACCTTAATTCCAGGCCAGTGCTTTTCAAAACCAGATGAGTGTATAACTCAAATTCCGTGCAGTTTGACTTCATGTGAAACCTAACGTTCACGGGAAATCGGGGGTCGCGTCTACCTGGAGAGGCTTTTCTCACTGTGATGGATCCTTTGGAATATGTCTCCCTTCAGTTTTAACTCAGCCCTGTTAATATCGCCTCTTTCAAATACGACATCGACCTGTGCGGTCACCATATTATCCCTCAATTTTCAGCCTTCGCTGGTCGGTTCGCTGCTATGGTACCAACGAAGTCACTTTTGCAATATCAAACTACTACGTCTCCTCGGCCGAGCTCTAAGACAGAAGACACACAGTGAGGACAATAAATGCCTCCTCTGATTTGTGGTCATCTAACTCTGTCACAGAGACAAAAGTTTACAACGACCTCAGAACGGACCACATTGAAACCCATGCGGTACACTGGTAAAAAGCCGTCCGAGGTGAAAAATGAACACATATGTCTGTTGGAATACAGAAATGTATTCATCCTCCGGTTAAACCAAAACCATGCGGGGGGATGCAGTCGACTGGGGGTTTACTCTCATCAAACTCCATGAGCGGTGCTCACAGGTTGGCCTTGACGGGTCTCTGTCTCGGATGTCAGTTTGCAGATCAGTTTTGCACAAACACAGTTCCCCGTCTTTTCTGTTCGGGGACCACAACCCCACATTATTGCCGATCTTGACGGTAGCCGCAATTCTGGGGACTGTCCGCTGCACCCAGTACACAAAACAATGTTTGGACGGGTACCCACACCGAAAATCGATAGCAAATCGATCAGATCAGGCTTAGAAGCGGTTGCATCTTAGAAGCTGTGGTTGCACTTGGAAGTTTTCCGTTTCGGACAGACTCACTCAGCATTGCAAGTTGAAGAAAGTTGGCATCATCCCGATGGAAGATCGATAGTAAATGAGCTCAAGGTCTTTGTGTTTTTGGTTGCAATTCTGGGGTTTTGCGGGATAGGTATTTTGTTCATCGTCACACCACTCGTGTCTGAACGGTGGTCCTCTTGTTCTGGCGTAACTAATCCCGTGAATCCACACCAAAGCGAAGCACTGGACTCGAGTTTCGATCTTATTAGAGCTCATCAGCAGTGCATATCCAATGGCCGTGCCGGGATTTGAACCCCGGACATCTGACATGCGAGGCGAGCGTGTAACCACTACTCCACCAACACACTTTGGACGCATCTGAATTCTCACATCTGAACGTGTTCACACTTGAGCGATGTAATTGGTGTGCCCGACTCATCGAACGACGACCCACTAACTGTCCTGGTTGTGACGATCGATTGACCCACCAGTCAGGACTTCCCAGTCAGGTAGCGTAGCACACGCTTGAAACTCCACTGGGATCCTCCGGTTAAACCAAAACCATGCGGGGGGATGCAGTCGACTGGGGGTTTACTCTCATCAAACTCCATGAGCGGTGCTCACAGGTTGGCCTTGACGGGTCTCTGTCTCGGATGTCAGTTTGCAGATCAGTTTTGCACAAACACAGTTCCCCGTCTTTTCTGTTCGGGGACCACAACCCCACATTATTGCCGATCTTGACGGTAGCCGCAATTCTGGGGACTGTCCGCTGCACCCAGTACACAAAACAATGTTTGGACGGGTACCCACACCGAAAATCGATAGCAAATCGATCAGATCAGGCTTAGAAGCGGTTGCATCTTAGAAGCTGTGGTTGCACTTGGAAGTTTTCCGTTTCGGACAGACTCACTCAGCATTGCAAGTTGAAGAAAGTTGGCATCATCCCGATGGAAGATCGATAGTAAATGAGCTCAAGGTCTTTGTGTTTTTGGTTGCAATTCTGGGGTTTTGCGGGATAGGATACGTATTCATCGTCACACCACTCGTGTCTGAACGGTGGTCCTCTTGTTCTGGCGTAACTAATCCCGTGAATCCACACCAAAGCGAAGCACTGGACTCGAGTTTCGATCTTATTAGAGCTCATCAGCAGTGCATATCCAATGGCCGTGCCGGGATTTGAACCCCGGACATCTGACATGCGAGGCGAGCGTGTAACCACTACTCCACCAACACACTTTGGACGCATCTGAATTCTCACATCTGAACGTGTTCACACTTGAGCGATGTAATTGGTGTGCCCGACTCATCGAACGACGACCCACTAACTGTCCTGGTTGTGACGATCGATTGACCCGCCAGTCAGGACTTGCCAGTCAGGTAGCGTCACAGACGCTTGCAACCCACTGGGCAACTTTTTTTGGTTGCAGTTTTGTGTTTGTTTGTGTTTTGTTTTTGTTTTTTTGTTTGGTGAACTGGAGTGATACACCAATCACATGATGATTTAGCACCCGTGTTGTGGAACTATTCATGAGCGTGCAAATTCCGGATGAAATCATTCTGCGCAACTTCTATGGGGCTAGAGATTTCAAAACCGAATTCCGGGGAATAAACAAGCAAACATTTTGAAGAGCATAGACAAGTGCTTTGCAGTTGTCGACGTTTGAAGATATCACGACTAAGCTGTTTCCACGCCTTGAAAGTTGAGCTGGCAGAAGGCTAGCTGAGCATCCTTATACCTGATAAATGAGAATTTCGCAGAATAAAACCCTAGGCACAGTGGCTCGGGATGGCTTCGTAGTTAAGAGTTGCACCTGACGGGATAGCCCCTTGTTCGAACCCAATCCCGATAACTCGATTGCTCCTGTCTGGGCTTCGGCAACCTGGCACTATCTCAGCCCTCGTGTTTCTTTCAGGTGGCATGGTAGCCAGACACCGTAAAAGTATTACAGCTGAGCGATTTTTATTTTATTTTTTATTCGAGACCAGGAGCGTAGACAGGCTGCCCTACTAAAATGTTAGTACGACGGGGTTCGAGTCCCAACAAATCGTTCCTTCCGGTGCCTAGCTGCCATGCCACCCAAAGAAAGCATGAGGGCTGGGATACTGCCAGGTTGCCCAACCCTAGACAGGAAAGTTCAGAGGCAGAGTTCTGGCTCGAACCACAGACCTCTCGGTCATTAAATTCACGTTCTAACCACCTAACCATCTTACCTCCGCCTCAAGTCTCAACAAGGCTTGGAAGGACTACATGGTTTCTGGCGCGGTATGAATTACTCATGATTTGGCCACGCAGTAGCATACTGCCTTCCGATTTCTCAAATCATCATACCCTTTTTCGGTTCGGAGAATATTCCACTTAGCATATTTTTTGAATCAGTTGTGCAATTATATGCTGGATTATAGCGCACTACATCAATCATATCGATGGTATTTGCTTCTAATTTCCCAGTCCAACACCAACCAATCAAGCAACAAAGAACCCGACAACGACGCAATACAGATCACCAACCGACCAACCGAAAGAGAGGATAGTGGGTGGCGATTTCAACAATAATGTGGCCGTGGAACGCAAGAAATACAAACCACAACACAACACAGGTTATGATCGTACCAACCAGAATCCAATTACCATTCAGGTTACAGCGCAAAAGTTGCTGTTTGTAAACTATATAAACGCAAGCGCGAAGAGAGGGACTCCCCCTAACGCCCCACTGAAGTTGTCTCCTCGAATGGTGACAAAACGTCCGTCTATCAATTGCGATCTCTGATGTTCTTATGAGTAGTGTGTACCGTCAGCATCCAAAAAGAAACATTGTTGGCCTTTGTGTATTTAGTTAGATAATACGATGAAATCGAGAAATGCAGCGGGGGGTTAATTTGAGCTGCCTGTCACAATCGAGTTAATTTGCAAATTATCGCACTCCACCAACTGCATGCTGTCCAGCCTATCAAAAGCGTCCACTAGTATTGTCAATCAGTGCGACCGCTCACGTGCATCACAGCAAATTCGCCCAGTTTTTTGTGAACCAATCAAAATTGAACGAGCGATGTTCACCAACAACTCTGTCGACTATAAAACAGTCCAATGAGAAAGATGAATAACGTTCTGGAAAAATGCCTTTGCGGTTTTTACGCTACTACAGTCTGTTTGGGACGACATCAAACTATTCTCTCCCGTTCAGTAACATTTCAAACGTGAGCTGCGATCTACTGTACAACTATACTTCATACAACCGATGGGAGACCCTGCGCACGGATCCAACTATTATGTTATACCTGATCATCAACGTGGCAGGTGTCATTGGGAACAGTTTGATTATTGCTCTTCTACGAAAACGTACGCTTGGCGGACGATTACCAACCATTCTGTTCCGAGCTCAGTCCATTCTTGACCTTACCGTGAACCTGGAATCGATTGCTTTCGGAATATTCAGCGAACTTTGGAATGTCTCGTCTGATCCGCTTCTCAACCTGTGGATATGCCATCTCTGGCATAGTCAGTTTCTATTTTGGTTCAGTGTTCAACTATCGATTGGAAATCTTGTTCTAGTGGGAATGGAGCGGTTTTTGGCGCTATCTTTCCCCCTGCTTTATCAGAGATTAATCCCGCACAAAGTTGCACTCTATTGGATGTTGACAAATACAATCTACAACCTGGTTCTCGCATCGCCCAATATTCTAGAAACCCGGATTGATGATGGTTGCTGTGTTGGGCAGAAGCACATGGATTCTGTGAGAGGAATACTTCGAACCTATGCCATTGTATGGTTTTTTATGATATATTTGTTAGCTCTGATTTTGTTGATCTTGTTCTACGGCGGGGTGGTGCTGGCACTTCGCCAGTCTGTTGTGATTAGTCGTGCCCCGACAAGGTCAAAGGTCATGATGCGGTTCACACGGATGGCCATCGTTATCACCTTCGTGTACATCACCTGTGTCTCGTATGACGCTTTCGCCTACCTCGCAGGTCGAACTGGTTTGTGGTCGTATCAGTACAACACAGTGTGGCATCGGATAGGAATGCTGACTGTTTCGATCAATTCATCTGCAAACCCGTTCATCTACTACGCCTTTGTGTTGCGAGATTCTTGTAGACGAAACTTCGGCCTACACGGCTGTTCAGCTCGATCCGGCACAAACGTGGTCAATGTGTCGCAACCCAGTCCCCATTCGAACGGTTTTCGTGGAAAGCCTTGCCATGCGTCAGTCGATTCTTCACCGAGTATCCAACCGAAATTGAAGATGGAACCGTTGTAAATATTGATTGATTGTCATTGATTGTCAGGGATTTTTATTGAATACTGTCGACATGAACTTTATTACGTAAATTTTAAGATGTTTGACACGTGACGCTTTGGTTACCAGTAAGGAAAAGAATCATGCCCAGTCTGGAGTAGGTGGCTTAGTGAGTAAACTTCTTCAATCAGCTGAGCCAATCCGGTTCATTCAATTCTAACTATCGCCATTTGAGGCTTGGGGCAAGTCTTGTCGGTTAGGTGAAAACGCGTGAGGTCAACCAATCCTTGGCATGATCGATTGACTCGTGCATCGATGATTTTTATGGGCTCTCTAACAAAACCCCGCTGAATTTACATTTTGGGGGGACTTTTCGAACGGGGTCACATAACAGTTGAATCATCATCATCATCATCCTTGTGAGGTATAGTAACCGCGTTTTTGTCGTAATGACGTTGTAGCTCCCACAGTTTCGCTCACCGATAATTCGTGGAGGTGTGGTAGACAGCTGCGTATTGAGATCGGAAGCTGATAAATTAGTGTGTAAATACAGCACCTTAGGTGAACTGTCAAGTGGGAGAATTGGGAAGGGAGCTGTGCATTGAAGGCAACAGCTTGGATGCCCAAACGCCATTGAAAGCGCGACTGGACCATATCTGACAATGGGGTCCCCATCCAGGAAGACGGCAATGACCAGCGCAGCTGAGTTTGCTGGTAATGGCTTTCATAATTCGCTGCCAAGTCATCGTTTGACCGCCTCTGGCTATGAGGGAACGAATATGTTTACGAGCAACATACTATCCCCCAAACAATTATTCAGGAAGAGTATGGAGATTACAAAAGTGCTCTTTGTCGGGAAACGATAACCAAGAATGACCAAGCCATTACACCCTAACATAGTAAAATAGTTCGGTCGTTCAGGAAAGGACGACAGAAGACATTTGAAAAGACGCGGAATTTTTTTTGCCGGACACTACTTGTATGAACATAACGGGACCCCTCTTGTTCACTTTTCGCTGGATGTCAACGTAACCTGGGACTTGGTGTGATAAAAATTGATTACCAACTCCCAGTGTGATATTTTGATGAACCCAGTGGATTAGCAGCGTGATTTACCCACATTTAGAAAGGGTTAGGCGCCACTCATTGGTCCATGACAGATTCCATATCACTTGGTCACGTGTTGCCCGGCTACTCGAGTGATGACTTCTCAGATGGGAGTTTCACTCAGAGGTTGTTTTTTATTCATCTTGTGGGCGACTTATAACTTGTCAGTAGTAACTTGTTAGATTGGAAATCACCAAATCAGAGCGATGGAAATAACCTAAAAGTATTGACGTGTAAAACTACTCAGAGGGTTGCTGAAAATTCTTCAAAAGCCCAAGACCAGTTTCGCCCTTCTTGGGGCTCACCAGGCAGACACAGTCCCTGAGTTTCCGTCAATCTTATGTTCTACGAAATTAGCGAAATACACTCATTTGCATATCAAATTGGTTTTGCGCAAGACTTATCTGGAACCCAGCTGTATCTCTCGTTTGTGACGTTTTCAGGTAACTGAATGTACTGTACCAGGGCGCCTCATATTTCAGTTGGTACGATATTCAAGATATTCCGATACATGTATGGACGTAATATACTACTCATTAGGATGTTGATTTCGCTGATTTCGCCCTTTTTGTGCTCATCAGTCACACTCAGCCCCCAAATTTCCTTCAACCTCACTTTATACTTGAACTCAAGCTAGTCTGATTGTTTCAGTGTCGAATACCTTCGTGAGCAGTTTGATACCTTCGCCAGCTTGAATCAAGCCCCCGGGTGGATCTACGTGTGTTTCATGAGATAGCCAACTTCCGACGCATACATACTTGCTTGCGTGTAAGCACAAGTTCTGATCATTCCTCAAGTTTGTTTGGGTGGGACTGAACAGAAATCGAAGACCGCGTGCGCACTGAGGTCAACAAAGTCTTCAGATATTGAATAACCCGCAATCTATCAACAGTTGCGTTCGGGCAAATTCGAGTCAATGAAATATTAAGCGATGCTAGTAATCCAGAGGGCTGGTGTGGGTGAACGTTTGAAACTGAAGACTGGACATCATGGTGACTGGAAAGCGGGCACCATATCCTTACATATCTTCAACGCGCATCGACGAGTACATTAAAGACTCGGATTTTGGTTCGACATCGAACGCACTGGCATACGATCTTCGGAAATACTTGTAATGTGAAGCTGAGAGTGCCGGACGGATATAACAGTGCAGTGTGCTCTCCCAGTCGCTATCTGTAGGTTTCAGACAATTACAAAACAATGGCCTGTGTCATAGAAGTAACACTCGAATGGCGAGGTTACCGAAAATTCCTCGACAGCTCACGACTGGTTTCGCCCTTTTGGGAGCTCTTCAAGTAAGTGCGCAGTTCCCGAGTTTTGTTCATTCTCACGTTTTAGCCAAACTCAAATTGGACAGATTCTTACGAGTACTCACAGGTGTACACGAATATGGTTTTGGCAGAGACTCAGGTAATCCCAACCGAATCTCTCATGTATGATGTTCCATTTGAAACGAAACGTGAGGCCGCCTGATGCAGCACATTTAGTTAAACAATATCACAAACGAGAGATATTCCAGAAGGTTCTTTCTAAATCCACATCATTGATAAAATTGACGAAAAACGAGTACGACAGTTCACTATTGATTTTTAAATCCCGTCAGCTCCTAAGATGGTCAGGATCTACGGGTTGCTTACGTGGAAGCCGCACTGGAACCATAAGTTTGGTCAAAAATTAGGATAACACTACCGTTGTAACGGTAATACTACTGATGGGGGAGGTATGCGAGTAGTATGGTTTCTTCTTGTAAATTCGCTGTGCGTCTCTTGAAAAGGGTGATCTTTTGCGGAATTTGTGTAGTCGCTCTATAGCATTTGCTTGCATTTGAGCAAGTCAATGAATATCCACGAAAGTTCAGGAAGACGCGTTCAAGAGAAGATGGATGTTCAGTTTTTGTAAATAAGATGCATATGAAAGTTTTGCTTCCCTGTCCAATAGTCTGTAACCGGTCAGTAGGCATTTTCTAATGAATAACTCCTCAGCGGCGGCCTTCTTCCTTTCACCGTGAGTATTCTCAGAACCTCTCTTGTTTATACATTCTGACCCTAAGGAAGGGTATGACTGGTAGTGGGCTGTCGAACAGTTCTTTGTCAATCTTTTTAGTGGTATCCTGCGGGTCCACATCTCATTTTATCAAATTGGACCAGTATTTTTCATCCTCCAGTTCTACTCAATGCCGTCTCCCAAAGGCGATCAGTTCAACATGATGAAGTTCGTGTTTTGCCTTCATTCCTCGAACCGTCACGTTTTGCACGATCTGTTAATCTCCGAGCTTGGCGATTGGCTTGCAAAGGAGATATGGTCAGGGCTTGGTCGGCAATCAGATCTGATCAGTCACCACTATTTAGACACTTTTGGACAATAGAAGAAAAACCAGTCAAAAGAATCAACCACCGAGTAATTTCCTGGTTGTAATTTTCTATTTACTTTGGGAAGACGGGATTCGATTGTTCATTGTGCCTGCACCTGAGACGCACGTTTCTGTGAGATTAGAGGTTTGCTACAGTCAGACATCACGATCAAAGTGAGCGATTTTAGTGAAGCAGACCTTAGACTGGGTTTTCGATCGATCGATCCTCTGGAAATCATAATCGGGTGAATGGACACAGTCCCCTGGTTCCCTCGACTTCGAAGCACTGCAGAGCGCCTCACAAACTCTTGGCCATTAGTTTTAAAACACAACCGTGCGACCACAAGCGTTTGATCAATATTGTGATTGATTTGCAAACGCTTATCGTATATCGTAGCGAATGAAGCATGAGGCGTCCTGGTGCACCACATTCAGCAGTTGCCTGGAAACATCACAAACGGGAGATTCAGCTGGGTTCCAGGTGAGTCTCTCTCAAAACCCGATTCGTTTGCAAATGAGTTCATTCCGCTAATTTCGCGCAATTTGGTTTCAAGTCGAACGTAAAGTTGACGGTTGGCCTACCTGATGAGGCCAAACTGGAGGGGCGAAACCGGTTGTGGGCTGTCGACGAATTTTCATCAACCTAATGAGTAGTGCATTATGTATATACGTGTGTCGCGACATCTCGAATATTGTACCATGAGGCGGCCTGGTGCATCAAATTCAGCAGTTGCCTGGAAACATCACAAACGAGGGATTCAGCTGAGTTCCAGGCCACTCTCTCGAAAAAAAGACTAAATTTGTTTGCAAATGAGTGCATTTCGCTAGTTTGAATCATTGTTCGAACGTCTGGCCAAAGTGCCTCTCTGGTCAGTAAACGAATGCTAGTAAAGAGCTAAAATTTTGAAAGCTTCCTCATTCGCCTCTTCTATGTCTGCCGCGATTTACGGCGAATAAAACCGCCTGATATATGTTTGAGCTAGCTAAGGGAAGGTTCCTCAGAATATTTAGGCGCCCGTCCAGGAGACCAAAGTGACTCCCTGAAAAGTCATTCGAGTGAAATTGTCGGTCGCAAGATTGTTCGAACACTTTTCATCGATGAGTTTTCCAGAAACGAAACAAATACTTTAGAACGGGTTGCTGACCGTGTGATATCTTGCTGTGTGAGTTTGCTAAGCTAAACCTTCACTAATTCCATTGGTTCACACCCTGAAATTGCCAGTTTAACGTTATGTGCTTTCTTCCGATTGCATGATTTCCGGTGAAATAATAGGTTAAATCACAAAGTCCCACAAAATTGTTAGACAGAATCTCGCACCAAAACTGCTTTGCCGCTCTCATGTGGGTGCTACTACAGCCCAGAAGCCTACCCCGCATTCCAGTGGCCAGAAAATTGATCCGCTTGCCGGTTCAGCATCAAGGTGAACTCTGATTGGTTGGAAGGCTAACCCAGCAACCAATCGTGATTCAGTATCTGCGGTTGCCAATGCCGCGTCCAGAAGTAGTCAGAATCTCCAGAATGTTGTTCTCATACATTCTAATTTCTGTACCTGTGTTTTTGATG